GCCATTGGTAGATGACACACAGCTTCAGCAGTGACGGGCAGGTGATGTCATAGCTGTATGTAACAGGCACTTCCAGAACAGGAGAGGCAAAAGGGATGGGTGAGAAACAAACTACAACTAGACACAAATCAAAACACTGGAGAGAAACTACGGCTTTCTGGATTGCCTGCTGCACAAATTTTAACTTTGACATGGTGACACAAATCATGCCTTAATGTGATGTGTGTCCAGAACAGGAGAGGCAAAAGGGATGGGTGAGAAACAAACTACAACTAGACACAAATCAAAACACTGGAGAGAAACTACGGCTTTCTGGATTGCCTGCTGCACAAATTTTAACTTTGACATGGTGACACAAATCATGCCTTAATGTGATGTGTGAGTGTACTATAGAGCCCTTTGGGTACCTCTTCATGCTGAAAGACCATAGAGCATCTAAACCAGGCTTGTCCAACCTGCGGCCGAGGTCAGCTCGTAATGCGGCCTAGTGCAATTTTTTATTTTTAAAGAAATTCCAAAGTTTCAAGTTACACTGCCAGCGCTTGCGGACAGAATGTGGCCGGGGCATGTCACAACAGTATAGGGGGAGAGAGGGAAGGAAGGAAGGAGTGGGAGGGGAGGGGACAGGGGGGCTGCACTGATTGCACTTCACCGCCCCATAAAGCTGCCGGAGTCGAAGCTGGCAGCCTCTGCTGTCTAAGATCGCAGCTGCCGGTAAGTGCGCTTGGAGTGGGGCTGCGGAGGAAGGCTAGGGTTCCCCCCCTTGCGGCCCAAACCAAATGTATGTGCGGCCCAAACCAAATTTTCATCTTCTAATGTGCCCTAGGGAAGGTGAAAGGTTGGACACCCCTGATCTAAACATTCACTACTGCTGTACTCAGAAATTGTTCTATTTTGTGAACTATTTCTTCCAAATTAATACAGACCATAGGCAGATTCTCTCTGAAATGCAAACAGTGCTTGGACTGAAATTCTGATTCATGTTCATGTAAAGACTGCATTAACTCAGATACACCGCTATCCAGAAAATTCATCAAACGTATAAATATATAAAGTACATTCACATAATGTGGCAATCCCAATTTACAATTCCTGCCCCACCCTCCAAAAAAATCCAACCTGGATTACATATACAATAAAATTAATTGATGGAATGCTATGTGATAGAGTCAATGTGCACTACTTGGATATTCAGACAAAAATACCATAAACATTTAAAAAAACTAAATACATTAGAAAGTTCCAGCTCAGCCTTCTCCGTGCTGGGCTAGTTTTAATCAGGAAAATGTTATCTCATCCACCTGACACACTTTAAACCTTGAAGGCTTGGAGTATTACAGACCCAGAGATCTCTGCCATTTTTATGACATTACCCCACTGTATACAGCAATCCTCATTCACCCAATATAACAAGGCTTTTTGCCCTTCCTTCTAAAAGGGCATCCATTACCTCACACTTGCTACGAAGACCTGTTTCCTGAAGCCGTGACCAAATGCTCTGGATTCTTCCTGCGTGTTCAGGATGGCTGTTTGTGTTTCCACAGGTACACTGATGTTTTAGCATCAATGTGTCATATACAAGGCCTGCATCAGAGGATACAACATAACTTAAGACATCAATCCCATGCTTACTTAATAATTCCTGCACATTGTCAAGTTTATTCTTACTTGGATGCAAATGCCACTAGACATTGTGAGACATATTTATGAACATATATAAGCCTGCTATTAATTACAAAATTTTTACATATATATGACAAAGACAAAACTTCAGTTTCAAATTTCATGCCAAAATAAAATACGTACGACACATTTTTTACAGAGTAGACTTCGGTCTAGATGGGTGGGGTATAAATTTAATAAATAAAACAAATAAAAATAACCAAAATAAAGCCAGCTAGCAAGCAAGCAAACAGATAAACTGCTGAAAAATTATATTCATTGATTTAATTTAAAATTATGGGTAGGTTTTGAAATTAAATGACTCAACTATTTAGTACTTTGCTCAAAACCAATCTACAGTGGAACCTCTACTTACAAACGTCCCTAGCTATGAACAATCCAACTTACGAACAGCTCTGTTCGCAAAATATTGCTTTTACTTATGAATGGAGCTTCAAGATACGAACGGAAAAAAAACGCAGGGGAGGCGAGGAAAGCGTGAAATTTGAACTTTCAGTTGACCGTTGGCCAGTGAAGAGGCGGTTTGTCTGCAACATCGCTCGTCCAAGCGGTTAAGAGAGTGGATAGGGAGAGAGTCTTCAGAACTGCCTGGTACTATACTGTACAGACTGTTGGTGAGGTTTTTTTGCTTTTTTTGGATTTTTGACTTTTTTTAACAGAGAGACTGCCTGTTCTGGGTGAGCACATACACTGTACAGTATTTACTGTACAGGGTTTTTTGCAGCTTGGTGGGGGGTAGGGCTAGGTGGGGGTTACGTTTCTGTGCCCTGATGGGTCTTGCAGTGTGGATTTAAAATGTAAAAAGTAGAGTGTAATATTAAATTAAAATTAAATGTGAAAATTAGACTATAATTTTAAAATGCAAAATTTATTTATTTATTTTTGCATTCTATGGCTTCTAGGGTTTGTGTACAGTGATCTCTCTGTTGTTTTAAAATGTGTGGGTTTAAAATGTGCCTCCAAAGTCTTTTTTTCCCTTTGGGAATCTGTTTGATGTTATAATGGTTGCTTGTTATTTATGCAGGCAGGCTGTAAAATGCAGTTTAGACTCCACAGTCTTTTTTTCTTAAAATCAGAAAATATACCGTGAGGGGCTGTGCTGGCTGTTGATGCAGGCTGGCTCTAAAATGCAGTTTAGACTCTCTTTTTGTGATGAGGAGTTATGTGCTGGAATAATGCTTGCTGGATTCTGTGGCTTCTAGGGTTTGTGTACAGTGATCTCTCTGTTGTTTTAAAATGTGTGTTTAAAATGTGGCTCCAAGATCTGTCTCTTTTAAAATCAGAAAACTGTGGTGCTTGTTGATGCAGGCAGGCTTTAAAATGGAGTTTAAAATGGAATTTTAAAATGGAGTCTACTGTAGACTGAAGATTCTCCTCCCCTTGTCTTCTCTCTTTTCTCTCTTTTTGTGTTTAACAGCACAAATCTTTGTCTGAGGGGTCTGTGTGCGCCAGTTATGACTTTCTTTCTTTCTTTCTTTCTTTCCTCTTTTCCCCATTGTTCCTTCCCTCCCTCCCGCCCTCCTTTCCTGCCCTTTTTAAGCTAAAAGGTGCTTGGCTTGGCTTGGTTTTGTTTAAAAGCTCCTTGTTTTTAAAGGTGTTCTGTTTAGAAGGTGTTCCCTCCTCCCTCCCTCCTTTCCTGCCCTTTTTTTAAAAACCTAAGTTCATCTTAGGTCAAAGGAAGAAAAATTCTCCCCCTAGTGGTAGAGGACGGATTAAACAGCTTTGCATTAGTTCCTATGGGAACTAATGCTTCTAATTGTGAACAGTGCCTCTAGATAAGAACAAAAAACAACCAGAACAGATCAAACAGTTTTCAATGCATTCCTATGGGAAATTTTGCTTCTACTTATAAACGTGTCAACTAATGAACATTTTCTGGGACAGATTAAGTTCATAAGTAGAGGTTCCACTGTATATGTATGGTATCTAATATTCTGTACAGTCCAGTTTAGGTGTAATATGAAAACATGGTTCAGAATTATACAAACTCTAATTACTCCTCCTTTTGTCTTCCCTTCAACTGGGATTTCGTCGTCTAACGGGGTCGTCATCAAGTGGGGCACCACTGTACTGAACAATGATTTAGTCTTACATTTAAACTGTTTGTTGGTTATGAGTATTTATTGGAATTAGATGCAATTCAGTTGCCTGCAACACAGTAGACTAAGACAAAGCCATTATAGCAAACTGAACATATTGTGATGCTTAATAGTGTGAAAATAGTCCTGCAACCTACCTGTTGTAAACTGGGGCTTGCAGGGTGGCTCCTGTATGGACATCGGAAAGTTAGCAGAGGCAGGTGATGACTGGGCTCTAGAAAGTGGTCGATGCCCTCCAAAAGATACTGGAATACCTGCTGCTTCCATGGATGCCTGGTAGTTCCTCAACTGGTGAATGCGTTGCTGTTCTAGTAGAAGGGCTTGCTGTTATAGAGAGTGTGTCATATTATCATTTCCAGGGCTCACAAATGAATTTTACTATGTTAGACTGGAGTCACAATAGAATTTTTCAGCTATTAACGGGATGTGTGAGTTAGTTCTGTAAACTGACACCTATAAATATAGGTATCTGATGCATGAATCTATCCAAATACTTTTTTTTGTATTTTGTATACAGGTGATATGTTACAGATAGGATAACTATTGAGACATAAGCTGGTGGCACAAATGCCAGACAGAGTTTCTTGGTTAGACAATCGTACAGTCTTACAGAGCCAAGTAGAAAGCTAAAGGAGATCAATAAGGGTTCACTATTCTCCTAATTACAAACCAATATACCCTTAAACATAAATTAAAATGCACACTGGTAAAGATAAATTTTAAGCATTTGTTTTCCAACAGACATCTAGTCCGTGTTACTGTCATGACAGGAAATTCATACCTAAAGCATCCCTAACACATGGGCCATCCATTATTGCTTATTATGAAGAAAGATTACACTAACAAATAAGTGCTATTTACATCCAACGGTCACTCTACAATTTGCCTGAGAAAGAAGAGCCTTGCTTTTCAATAGCAGTTAATAACCTCACCACCAACCTTCCAGAGAAAAAGGCAGCAAATTAATGAGTTTCTGCATCATTAAAAGTTACAACTCCCATCATACTTCATGTAGTGGGGGGGGGAGTAAGTGTGGGTTTTTACACAAATGTTAAAAAAGCTACTAAATTTTAACCCAGTTACATTACTGTTTGAAGGCATAACACAACTGTGTCAAGATGTTCCAGCTTGAATAAATGGATGGGTTACACCTCCTGAAGCTCAAGTAGTTCTGGGAATTTTATTTCTCTTACTAAACCAAACTGTCAGAGCAAGATATATAAAAAATTTACATGACTACTAATGATTGCCAGATTAGCATAACTGGATGGGTTACTTCTCAACAAGCTATGCTGGCTTAGGAGTTCTGAGAGTTGTAGTCTTCTTACTGAAATGGTAATAGCTAGAAAAATAGACATTGGGCACATATACCCCCAATTTTCCCAAGTTAAATAACTGGATAAGTAATATCTCAACTGCCCAAGCTCAGTGGAGAATCATTTAAGCTAAAGATGGAAGAACCTACATTTATATTCCTTGAATACTGAGCTGAGTAGTGGAGTGTAGGCAGAAAAAGATCAGCATGGAAACAAATAATTTGGAGGGTAAGGAAAGAAGAAAGACACAGCACTGGGAGAGTGACTGGGCTTATTAGGTTTATAATCCTGGTACAAGCCAATGAGCATCAGGGTGAATTGGGGGAGGGAGAGGGACAGAGAGGAAGAAAAAAAATGGAAGAAGAGAAGAGAGGTGCTGGGGGAAAGGTGGGACTCATGGGTTTTCACAGGGGTGAAACCAATCTTATTTGCTAAGTCAAAATATTTCTCCAACACCATTTGAGTCAAAGTTTTCCCAAGACTGTTCACAAAGTAAAATTTACAGTGGACCCTTGACTTACAGACGGCTTGACTTACAGACTTTTTGAGTCACAGACTTCTCTGGCCACAAAATTTAGGTTTGACTTGCAGCCTGAGAATTGACTTACAGACCAGAAAAAACCAAAATGGAACAAAAACGGCCTGTTACGGGATTAATCGGTTTTCAATGCACTGTAGGTCAATGGAGACTTGACCTACAGACTTTTTGACTTGAGAACCGCCTTCCAATACAGATTAAGTTCTCAAGTCAAGACCCCACTGTACTTCTTTGGTGAACAGAAACTGCTATTTTTATCGTGGAAACTGCATAATTCAAGCTAGTGTCACAAGAATGAAGCCAAGGGACACCCATTCCTTGGTGTTCCAGCTTCTGTTCAAACTAGCTGGGCAAAAGCACCTTGATTTCAAATATTAAAGGAAAGATAGGTTGCATGTTTCATATTCTGCCTCAAGCAAAAGGAAAGACAAACACACAAGCTTCTAGAAAATTAGAACAGTAAAAACATACTTCCATTTATTGCATTCTAGTTTACCTGTCTAAATAACAGCTCCTGTTCAGCTTGCCTCTGCCCTGGCTCTAGTTCCTGTTGCGATTCCCCATCTTCATCACTTTCTGTGGGTTCTTGCTTCACCTGAACCATGCTGGCCAACCCTTGAACCTCCTTTGAGTTTGATATCCTGTCAATGTATGGATCTTCTAAAAATGCCTGGTGTTCTCGTAATTCTTCCTCAGTCTCTTCAGGATGGCTTTCATGCTGGCGGGAAGACTCATTTGATTTTGGTATCATCTGAAAATATTTCCCAAAGTTTAGCACCAAAACTGTAGCACTCAAGAATCAAAGACAGTTTTATCATGGAAACCATTTGCAAATGTGAAGAATGAAAAAAAATAAAAGAACTATTCTACGAAATAAATCTTATATTTCAGTTCTATTATTTTAACAAACATTAAACTCCTTAAGCTATTAATTTTTCACCAAAGAAGCTGCATACTGGCTTATGCTTTCTATATTCCTTCTATTCACCTTACATCAAAATACACACACAAATTACTCTGCAAAACAAGAAACATGCTTTATTGCAAGCTGCTCCAACTAAAAATAGTTAGTCCAGTTTCAAGCATACATAATGCTTAGATAGGGAGAACTTTTCAAAAAGGGGAAGGTACATGGTGATTATTAGAGACTAGAATTAGAAATCATTTATTTCACTTTTACAGATGGAAAAAAAATTAAAAGATGGCTCCCCCCCATTTCCCATGAGGTTATAAGCAAGGAGTTATTCAAAGTATTAGGAGATTTTAGCTGACAAAACATGTGTGTGTGTGGGGGGGAAGGTCTATTTTGCAGAAAAACATATTTTGCACAAAATAAAAACATTCTGTACAAATGGTTATTGCAGATTTTTTCAGGCTGTTTGGTCATGTTCTGAAGGTTGTTTTTCCTAATGTTTCACCAATCTCTGTGGCTGGCATCATCAGAGGACAGGAGTTAGAACTTAGTGTTCTGGTGTATGATAGTTGAGTATTTGTAGCTGCGGGATCAGGTTTTTTGTCCTTTTCAAGAGATTGGGTGATTATGGTGATCAGGATGTTTTTTGTTGTGGGTGTATTGTTGTGGTAAGGGGGAGAGATGATCTGTGACTGTGATTGATGGGTGTTGTTGGATGGTCTTTTGTGTGCAATGATCACTGGTCCTTGTGGCTGGGTAGAGTTTGTTGACCTTTTGCAGGCTGGATTTTTCAGTGCTGAGAGCCAGGCTTTGTTGAGTTTTAGACTTTCTTCTTTTTTGTTGAAGTTCTGCTGGTGTCTGTGGATTTCAATAGCTTCCCTGTGTAGGTTAACATAATGATTGCTGGTGTTGTCCAGTACTTCAGTGTTCTGAAATAGAATTTCATGTCCACCTTCTTTCAGGGCATGTTCAGCTGATTTTTAGAATTCAGAGTGAGTTCTAACTCCTGTCCTCTGAAAGTACCAGCCACAGAGACTGGTAAAACGTTAGGAAGAAAAACCTTAGGTACACGGCCAAACAGCCCCAAAAAATAACCACTGGATCCCGACCGTGAAAGACTTTGAGAATATATTCTGTACAAAATTTCAGATTTCTCCTAATGCTGTCACTTACAGAAAATAAAAGCCCTGATCTTGCTGTTGTGAAAAATCTCACAGCAAGAAACAAATGTTTGCTGTGATAACTAGGACCAGATTGTGCTTTGAGACAAAGGAAATATGTGGACAAGCTACAAAGTTAAGTATTTTCAGTCACTGTATGCCAACAGTACACCTCAATAAGACTCTTGATTACTCACCTTAAAGCATTTTGTCTAAAGACAATACAGAAAAGTTGAATGCGGCATTTTTGCTTCTTAACTTGGCATATAAAGATGGAATTGCATGTATAGTTGTAAGGGAACAGAGACCAATCAGATGCCAAAAATTAAGATTATGAATGGATTAAAAGTAACTGGGTTCTTGAAGAACAGCTCAACTCTTCTTCTCTTTTATTGATTAATTTTGTATAGCTTTTTGCAGATTTTTCCTGTTCTAGGGCTTTGGTCTCAGTTTGCATTTTTGTCATCTGTTTATGTCAGCTCAATTCTCCTTTACTGGATCTCCTCTTAGTTTCTGCAATCTTTTACAAATATACATAATCCCCATCCCCACACTTCAAATGATCTGCATGTGCTGAAACGTATCTCATAAAGGCATATTTCATACAGTATACATTTTGTATTCCAAAACACACAGAAAGAGCTTTGTTGTTATGCTGATTTCATTTTGCTTTTAGTTATATTAGAATGGACTGGATTTTCCAGGATTGAGTCCTCTACTGATTCTTCACACAGCTCATTAATCTACAAGGTCTTCTTCCTCAGAGGTTGTGCTCCTCTTTTTGTGTTTGTGTGTGTGTGATAAGTATTTGTTTCTTGTTTTCTTTCTTTACAAATTTATTGTTTCCTTAGGACAGAATCTTGGCTCAAGGACAGTTTTAAGAAAATCAAAGACTTCTTAGGTTTTCCTCCTTCATTCCTGCTATTTTATTCATTTTTTTCCTCTCCAATTAATAGTAAGTCTCAGATTCCACTACAGTGGACCCTTGACTTACAGACGGCTTGACTTACAGACTTTTTGAGTTACAGACTTCTCTGGTCGCAAAATTTAGGTTTGACTTGCAGCCTGAGAATTGACTTACAGACCAGAAAAAACCCAAAATGGAACAAAAACGGCCTGTTACGGGATTAATCGGTTTTCAATGCACTGTAGGTCAATGGAGACTTGACCTACAGACTTTTTGACTTGAGAACCACTTTCCAATACGGATTAAGTTCTCAAGTCAAGACCCCACTGTACTTTATTTCAGATTTTATTTATTTAGTTTATCTCATTCTTTCACTTTGGACTGTTTTCCCCCCATTCTGCACAACTGATCTACAGGAAATTACAGAAGAAAAAATACAGTCAGCCCACTCCACATGTGCTATAGAATTGCCTTTTCTCTCGTGTACAGTCGTGCCCCGCTTAACAATTACCCCGTATAACGACAAATCTGCTTCAGGACGATGTTTTTGCGATCACAATTGGGATCGCAAAACAATGTTTTAAAGGTTTCTTTTCGCTTTGCGACAATCAGTTCCCTGCTTCGGGAACCAATTCTTCGCATTACGACGATCAAAACAGCTGATCATCTGGTTTTCAAAATGGCCGCCAGCTGCTCAAAATGGCCCCCCGCTGTTTTCTAGGACAGATTCCTCGCTTTACAGGCACTGAAAATGGCCGCCATATGGAGGATCTTCGATGGACGAGCAGGTATTCAGCCCATTGGAACACACTGAATGGTTTTCAATGTGTTTCAATGGGCTTTTTTATTTCGCTTGACGATGTTTCGCTCTACAGCGATTTTGTTGGAACGAATTAATGTCGTCAAGCGAGGCACCACTGTAATACTTTTTTTAAATTCAAAACATTGCCTGCAAGGATTACTTGTGAAAGTCAGCAAGGCAGTAGGGATGCTGAGGAAACCAAAAAGGTTGCTCACTCATTTCAAAAATTAAGTGAATATAGTTAACTAAACAAATACACTGGAAAGCTGTCTCCATTAAGCCTTTCATAGTCCATTGTCCTTCTTTGACATGAATTACCGTATTTTTCGCTCCATAAGACGCACAGACTTTTCACCCCCCTGTTTTGTGGGGAAAAAGTGCATCTTATGGTGCGAAAAATACGGTAAATAGGTAGGTAGCAAAAAGGCAGGCAGTTAAACCAACAAACAATCAAGTGACAGAATATTCAAATAAGAAAATTGTTCAGCAGAGATGGGAAGATGCAGACCAATGTGGTCTATCTCTATAGGACAATCTGCTCACACCTAGCAGGCAGATTACCATCAGAAGATCTATGAGACTGCATGCTACCCTCCTCTGGCTGTTGTATCATCTGATCTCGCTGATCCAGTAACTGCACTGCTCATCATAAAAGTGTGTTGAAGTATGGCAAAAAGCAGATGACCAGCTCTTTCCTCTGGCCAGGGCACTGCAGAGAATAAGACCCTGGCTTATTTTCTGTATTTCACAACAAGACTATTCAACTGGAGAGCCCTAAGATCTTTTAGATATTCTCCTATTCTACCCCACAATGAACATCTATCTCAATTTTGTACAAGTTCTCTGTCCTTTTCAACTTAATCAACATGGGCAGGAACCTAACATACACACCTAGTAGCTTAACAAATCAATGACAGCTTAGCTGTAACGTTTCTGCAATACAGCAAACTAGTCTGCTTAGCAATGGTATTATTTTATTATTCTACAGACTGAAACACTGCTTACTGCTCAGTTAAACCTGAAACTGATATGTCATGCTATATTATACATATATATAATACATTATCATTACACTTCTGTTTTCAATCTACAGAAAAAAGTTTTGCCTAAAAATATTAAATATCATATACAGGTCTCACTGTAGGTTATAAGAATGAACAAATGAAGTACTTTCAATACTTTGCAATACTTGTAACGGCAATCTTTATAACGGCCACAAATAAACTACAATAAGCTATTTACTTTCAAATGGATTGCATCACCTATGGCTTACAATAACTTCAGTTGTAGATCTTGTTCTACAAAGAATGTTTGTGAGCAGCAAGTGAAATCTCCATGGAAATAACAGCTCTGAACTAAATCAGTATGCTAGTTTGAATGAAGTCCAGGTCTGGCACATGTATAGTAGTGGCATACTTCCAGAAGTACAAGAATGACGTCAGTGGCTTGTGTAATCATCTTGTCTTTGCTCTGTTCTATAAACAAAGTGCTCTCCCTCCCTCTTTATCTCACTAGGGAAAAAATGCACATAAGAAGCCAAAGCTTTAAGGGTAATATAACTCGCAGTGATGGCTATTGCTTTAATCACAGAATTAACCATTTATCCACCTTAAATTGAAACCATTGCACTTTGAAAGTCAAGCTTCATGACTACATTTTTCTTTTCATACTGCAACTATCAAACACAGAGAGAAGAGAAGGGTAGTAACTAGGGAGGAATGCCATAGCTGAAGAGAAACACTTGAATATTATGTCACTCTAAGAAAAATGAATGGCCTTTTAAAGAAAGCCTGGTTTACATTTCTAAAAACTGTGTTCAGTCAAAACTCTGGGTCTCTATTAAAGCCAGTGTGGTATATTCGATAGTGATAAACTAGGACTTATGAGACCTGGATTCAAATCCCCACTCAGCTATAAAAACGCGCTAGGTTGGTGTGTCGGTGGGACTAGTAACCCGTTCCTTAAATATCTCACTAGAGTCACCGTAAGTTAGATTGAACCTGATGGCAGAAAACAACAATATTTTTAAAAGACTAAACTAAGCAGTAAGAGTACGAGTGCACTACATACATCCAAACACATGTACACATACATCTCACACAAATATAATAAAGAATTCTGTCTTTTGTGTTATTATACTCATATCTACTAAAACAAAGTGTTACCACACATGGATTTAGAAGTAAATTTATCACACTGCTTTCTCAAAATGTTCTCACACTTATATAAAATTAAACAGTCACGTAGTTCTTCCAGTCACCTCGCACTTCATATCAATATGTAACATACAGAAGGCTTTCAAAAGGAAGGACAGAGAAAAATAGGCTAAAATGAGCACCCTAGGCTTTTAGCTAGGAACAGACCTCAATATTCCAGGTGCCAATCAAGTATTCAGGACTTTTCTTTTTATACAGAAAAACATTATGTTGAATGAATTACAGAAACATGCCTCTCAAATTCAGATAGTTGATTCTGAATGGATTCCCTATCATTTCCAGCTACTTGGGTTTAGGAAGTCATATTCTGTATACATTTCCAGTGTATCTCATTTTTCCCTGTATTTGATAATATCCTAACAGTAAGCAATCCAAGGATGAAGACAAATAGACACTATAAAATTATAAGCATTTAGAGGAAAGACATTTCTAAACGAGTCCATTAAAATTGCATTAGCAAGAAGCAGAAATTGGCATACCTACCTTGTTAATGTGCAGCTGTTGCTGCTGAAATTGCTGTTTATGTTTTTCCAGGAACTGCTGATGCTGTTGTTGGATCACTAATTGCTGGAGGGCCTGTGTATTCTGGGGAAGAGGAGCAGACTGTGTGCGCCCCAGAGGGCGATGTTGCCGCAGTTTGTGTATTGAGGGAGAGAGCCGATCTGCACCCACCAGGGACTGCGCATGGAGGGGGAGTGCCCCTAGTCCTGAAAGATACCAGTCTGAAGATAATATGAAGGAAAATAGTGGAGAAAGAGGAGGAAAAGAAGAGGAAGGGAGAAAGGGTTCTGAGTAACTCTCACAGCAACAGTAATGTGCATTGTGAAGCCAGCCACCACGTCATTTGTGTTGCTGAAACGTTTTAAAAACAAAACCGCTGTAAAATAAAGAATATAGGTTTTTAAAATTCAAAGTTCCTACAACAATTAATAAATAATAAATTATCAAATATGGAAGGTCAAGAATGAAACAATAAAACAATTTGGTGTCTGACTGGGAACAGATGAGCTAAATATGTGATGGGTGAGAGTTATCCTGTAGAAAATGAGAGTTTTGTTTCTAGTCATCAATGACCCATTGCTGTTGGACTTAGCAAAGACAAACTAACAGTACAGCTCAAATGCGAATGAATGAATGAATGAATGAATGAATGAATGAATGAATGAATGAATGAATGAATGAATGAATAAAATTTTTTTAAAAATCACACGCACACCCTCTGTTGTGACAGATTTGTAATGGATAGAAGCCTCTTATGCCAGCACAACTGTTCTGATGGTGGCTAATCTCAGATCTAAAGGCACAACTAGATCTGCCTGCAGAACAGTCAAAAGGGTGCAGGGAATAAGAGGAATAGGGGAGGAGCTGAGTTACTTCAGATCCAAACATTTTTCACACCAGAGTCATAGCTACTGTGCCAGCACAACATTAAGCCCAGGTCAATGAAGCCCTAAATAATTTCAAACATCTCTAGGATTGGAGGAGTTAGGATTCAGCATAGTCCTCAGTCATCTTGGTAGTTATCACAGTGTTGTTAAGTGGTCAGTATGTCCTGACAGGTTTTATTCTTCGTCTCTGCATGGTGACTTCCAGAGTGAAATTCAACTATTTTCATTAATATGTGAACATGAAAGCAATTTATAAAATTATGCATAATTGGATATAATTGAAAGAAAACATTTTCCCATCCTTTATAGAATTAGAACCCAACTTATCTAGTTATATGATCAGTAAGGAAGCCCAGTATCAGCATGGAGGCTTCTCAGAAAATGCTGCTATGCTGCATACATCAAGTGGGTGTGGAGAGGAGTGCTGCATGGCTGCAACAAGTTCTGGTTTCCATCTGACCCCCCCCCAATCCCAATTTTATGTCACTCTAGTGTGATGTCATTTCAGGAGCATGGGGAGAGGGGATTAAAATGGTGGGTGGCTTGGTTGCTCACTGCAGCTATACAACAATCTTCTTAGTATTAGCCAATCAGAACATTAACTCAACTGTGCGCAAGATTTCTGCCCAAATGCTCCACCTTCATTTTGTCCATTCTCTTCTCCCAACTCAATGTGCTGTAACTGATGTTTCCCTAGATTAATTAACCCTAGTTATGTCTGAATTAGAAGAGTAGGGTTAACTGAATTTTAACAAATAAGAATCTGAAATCAACTAAAATCATTACCTGTTCTATTATGATGTTGGTAGTCATCCATTTTCCAGTTTGGACACAATAGGAAAAGACAGTTGATTAAACCAGGAAGACTTCATTTTGAGCACATTGAGAAAAGAGAGACGAAGGGGCAGGTGAAGTGGGCAACAGAAGCTCATGCTTCATGTCCATCTTGACTTAATAATTTAAGAACGTGCATCCAAACTAAGCATTTTCAGTCCAATCATGAACAATCAACCAGCTTTTGGTTATAACTCTAGTTATTCTCACCTGGGACTAATGGGTTTTGTGCAGTTGGTTGTTCCAGTAAGACCATGTGTTGAAGAAGAGGGTTGTGTGCATTTCCTCCATCCCTTTCCACAGCAGTGCTACTCAAATAAGGAGTGATGTGAGTCCCAGGAAATATGGAGATTCGTTGTTGTAATGACGGAATAGCAAGTCTTTCAGCATCCTGCTGTCCTGATCCAGCCTGCAAGCACATCACCAATAATAAGCTGCTCTTATGAATAGAGTTAATGTAACCACAAATCCCACCCAACCCCAAACTTTACATGAAACATCACTTACACTGGATGGAGCAGTTGCAGGCAGTCCTAATGTTATATTGGGCAAGGAGGGAGATGTGTACAATGGAAGTTGTGTTACTGACCCTTCACGATTCACAAGTCTATGAGCCAAGGTGGTCTGAAAGCAAACCAAAACTGCTGCCTTAGAAAACAGGATAACAATTACACAAGAAACAAACACTTATGTCTAATTATGAGTTATTAGTATCGAATCCAATCTTTTCCACAAGAGTACAGGCTTGCTGAGAACGCATACTGGGAGGGTGGGTTTCTTTTTGTTATTGTTGTTTGTTTGCTTGTTTGTTTGGTAATAAAGTCATTGCTGCCACTTACAATCAGTGTCAGAGCAGCATGGCAGGATTTCATATTCATTTTAAATTAAATGCCCCAATGGGAATGATGCTGTATCACAACACAGCCTCATTCCCAGCCTTATCCCTAATTGATAAGAAAGGTGATGCTATCCTAAGGTCAATTAGGATAACACATCTAGGGGCATAATTTTATTGTTCTAATGGCTCGTCATGTATTGACATGGCTACAGATGTTGTATAATAAAAAAAAACCAGATTTATAATGATACTTGTGGGCAGCCATCAGCAATACCCTGAAAAATGACTCTACGTCATGATTTGATATTATTCCCATTGGGGTATTCTAGGCAAACTATGAACAGAACACAGACAGATTCAGCACTACTGGAAGCCTACACTATTGGGTGAAGGGGTGGGGGTGAGAAAAAATTCCACAATTTCAGCTGCCTTCTCAGAACTGCAAGTCGCTTCTACCAAAAATAGGGTGAGAGAAGAAATAACCAACTACAACTTTTTCTTTTCTAGGGTAATGAATGATCCTGTGAACATGGATAATCATCCATGTTTACAGAAAATTAAAATTAAGTACAGGTAATGGAAGAGCGTCCAAGGATAATTTAATTTTTTCTTTGCAAAGGTAACTGTTACATGCTACAGCTTTACAGTTTCTTTCAACCATAAGTGGAAAAAATAAACACTAGTACAGATGTGGTCTGTATATCTATATATTGTACTCACGTGTTATCACTACTACAATATTTCTATGCAAACTACCTGTCAGCACCACAAGATCCTCTCCCCATCTTTTTTCCTCTTTGAGCCTCACAACAACCCTGTGCTTGGATCAAAGAGAGAAAAGAAAGTATGTTTTCTTCTGCATTGCTCTGTGGTTGAAATTAGAGCATGAGGTTCTATAGTAAATAAGTAAATTTTAAAAGATCATATAAGAGGAACCAGCTGTTTTAGTATTTTAAGACATATGTTAAGTAACCTGAAAGATCATCTATCTCTATAAAAACCTGTTAAACCACTATGATCTGCTGCAGAGGGTGGTGCTATCTTTGCTCCAAGCTATAAAGCTCTTTCCAGAACCAATGTATTTATTTTGATATATTTTATTTATATCCTGCCTTTCTTCCAACAAAGAAACAAAAGTAGCATACAACAATTTAAAAATACACATATAAAACAAAATAAATTAAGAAATTGTTAAAATAGAATGAAATTAAAGAAATATTTTAAATGCCATTAGTTAAAAAAATTAACAGAGATTTAAAATATATAATAAAAATACTAATTAAAAAATCACAATCTTACAAGGTTTAGAAGTTAAAAGCCAACTTAAAACGAAGGTTTTCACCTGCTGGCAGAAGGACTGTAAGGAGGAGAGCCAAACAAACCTAGCAACACTGCAATGGCCCTTCCCGCAGTGATGTAATTCTGCCCATCTTCTGTAACAAGCCCCCAATTCTGTGACACATCAGGTGTTTATTTAAATTATTCTGGTTTATCCTGGCTTTCCCAAGCATCAACTGACCAGAGCTGTTTCAAACTTTGTCCTACAAACCTTGTGATTCATAAATACTATTGGATTTGTATGTAGCTGAAAAACCTATTGCTTAGTGCAATGAAAATCATAATGTTTGGTACATCTCAATTCTTTGATGAGTGTGTATGTTCCCAAGCTAGCATACATATCCAACCCCAAAAATGGTGGCAGAAATGGTTTGTTTACAAGGGAGGAATGGACCAGAAGTTAAAGTTTGCCTTACATGAAGCATCAGGTTTTCACAGCCAGTGTTTCACTGTGTTATGATTTCTTATATAAACAGTTGTGTATTTAGTGGGATTGTGGACCAGTTGGGAGGTGAGCCCATGCGTGGGGGGGCAGGGGCACCCCCGCGAGAGAGCGCATATGTGTGAGCGCAACATGCCCCCTGAGCGAACATGACACGCTCCTGCATGAGCACGACACATCCCCTGCACAAGCATGACATGCCCCTGAGCGAGCACATGTTAGAGTTAGAGGGGTTGCAGAGAGGTAGGTTTCTTCTTCCCCTGGATTACAGAGGATGCTTAAAGGTATGTTTGTTCCTGAGTTTCAAAGATTACAGAGATGTAGGTTTATTTCTCTGGGTGTCGGAGCTAGATGGTAGTCAAGTAGATTTCGTCCCCTGGGTTGAAGAGATGCAGGTTTGTTCTCAAGGGTTTCAGAGGCAGCTGCAGGCAGGATGTCTTCTTCCCCTGCATTGCAGAGGTTGCAGAGATGCAAGTTTGTTCCCCTGAGTTACAAAGGTCACTGGCGGAGAGGTAGGCTTGTTCCCCTCGGTGGCAGAGATTGCAAAGAAGCAGGTTTGTTCCCCTGGGTTAAATAGATGGGAGAGAGACAGGCCCACAGCAGTAAGCTCTGTCTCTGGAGAGAGGATGGAATCACTACTGCATGCCTGCCCACAACCTCAACACTAACACCCTGGTCTGCAGAAGTAGGGAGGATCCCTGACCAAGGGAAGACTCCAGAGCCCAGTCAAGCATGTGAATAAGAGGGATGATTGCCAGTAACATCTGTTGTCTCCTGGAAGGGCTTGAGGACCTGTATGAGAGATTAAGCCATCTGTGGCACTGATGCCTATCTCTCTTCCACAGGGCAGAAAGGGTGAGGACATGATGTCTTCCAAAAAGGTCTTCTGCTCCACCAAATGTGAGACCATCATGTAAGTGGAGTTCCCCAGGGTTGGCAGGTCCTACAGGAGAACATATTCCTCCTGGCTCAACTTCTCCTGCTTCTCATGCATTTGGTGGACAGCACTGAAGCTGTGTGAAAAATGGATTACCAGGTAGCAGTAGTTCTTCAGGAGTGCCCACGTTTCCTGTGTGTCTGCATCCCAATCAGGTTTTATATTGCTCCCCAGGCCAATGGCATCATTCACATCAAAGAGTAACTTGTGCATCATGTACACAGTACCTCAAACCCTGCTGCATTCAACGCTGCCAACATGTTTCATCAAGCATCTGTGGCCATGTGCCCATCGTGGCCATCACCCTCTACTGCCCACTTGTGCAGCACTACCAGAAATTCATCAGCAATATTCCTCCCTGTCACCTGAGCCTCCAAGTGCCATGCCTGCAGCAAAACAGCCCTGTAGCCTGGTGGTAGGACAAGTGCCTACCCCCTGCGGCCCTGGCACCAATGTCCAGCTGCTACCCTTCAGGTCCTCTGGCTGTCACCAGTGGGCCTGACTGAGAGGTGCCCATGGCTGTCCTTTTCACTGTTGGTGACTCCTTCAGCTTCCCCACTTGTCCCCTATGTGCTGGTCTCTTCCTCTCCCCAGATGGCAGCAAGCATCCTTCCACAGATAGCAGCCTTGGGTGGTGCCTGTTCCACATGTCTGGGGTTGGAGCCCCTGCAGACCATGACAAGGAAGGCATTGCAGTGAACCATGCATGGGTCAATGTTGACAGTGGTGAAATGGTCCCATAGGGAGCCTCTGCTGTGTTTGGAACTACAATGACCCACTGACTGTCCCATCTACTGCTGGCCTGGGAAGACTACATTTTGCTGGTCTGGGAGGACTGGGGCATGCTACTACAAGAGGAGTCTGGGGACAGGGGTGGTGGTACTGGTGAAATATGCCCTTCACTTCCAGTTCAGAGGACTCGGAGGATTGCAGATTTCTGAAACCAATAACTCCTCTGGTGCCTCAAGGAAAAGCAGATGCTCTTCTTCAGCCATCTGAGGAAGCTGCACTTCCACCTCCACTTGTAAGCCCACTGGAGGAAGAAGACCACCAGATTCTTAAAAAGGAACAGTGGTCCCTAATCTACTGATGGGCCTCTTCTCCTCTGTCCTGACTGCCAGTGCCACTCATTTTCAGGTGCACTAAAGCCTAGCGCTAAAGTGCAGGCACTCTTAGATGCAGAAATAAAAGGGAGGGGAGAGGAGAGGACTTACTCATAAATAATAGAAAAAGGATTGGGCAGATCCCAGGGAGGGTTGCAAGAAAAGAGTATTTTTTAAAAGATGAGAGGGTTCTCAGATTGGAAAAAAGGACGGTGGGGGAAAAGTTGGGGGAAAAACCCCAAATGACCCATTCTAACCCAGAATGACAAGTTATCCACCTGTAATTGTTCTTCGAGTGGACCACTGTGATTCACACATCCCACCCCGGCCTCCCCACTGTCATGCCATTTTCTTCACTGTGAGTGATCCGTGCCTGTGCGGAGCCTCGTCGGAAGATTCTAGAGCTTCTGCGGTAGCAAAAACACATTAGAATAGACCTCTCCTCTTTCATATAAGTACCTTGGCACCACAACTCTCCCTTCAGTTACATCAACTGCCACGAGAAGAAAATCTGCATGGCGTGACAGTGGGGAGGTTGGGTGGGATGAGTGAATCACAGAGGTCCACTCGAAGAACTGCAATTACAGGTGGGTAACCTGACGTTCTTCTTCGTGGCCTCTGTGAATCATACTGTGAGTGACTAACAAGCTGTCTTACCCAGAGGCAGGGTGTCATGCCAAAGTGGAAGCCAAAACTGCACATCCAAGTGCTGCATTGGACTTCTGTCGGACATCCAGTCTATAATGCCGGATAAAGGTAGACGGCTGTGCCCATGTGGTTGGAGCACAAACGTCCAGAAGAGGTACACCACGAAGGAATGCTGGTGGAATGAGGACTAATCACCTGAGGGACCGGCTGTCAAACAAGCTGGTACGCAAGGTTAATAGTACAAGCAACCCAGCAAGAAATCATCTGAGAGATCACCTGAAGACCTTTCGTGGGAAGCTGATGACTGACAAAAAGGCA